TATATAGACCACCGCGCACCAACTTGACAGATCCTCGGACATATAAAGAACCGACCTCGCAGCACTCCCTCCTTCTAGACTCACTCTACTTCTTCTCTAATTCTTCGGTATTGACCCTTCGTCGCCCTCGCCCCCCGCAAGCATGGTCAAGATCCCCGACATGTTCGAGTCTTTCATGTCCCGCGAGCCAGCCGTCAACCCCCACTATGGCAAGGTCGGCCAAGAGGGGCTCCTCTGGGCATTCGCGAATTTCAAGTATGTAGCGTAACGTAACGAATTCCCCGAACTTGGGGAGTTGGGAGTTGGAAACAGAATACGCCTTGCTGACATGACATGATGTGACATGATAGACGGGGTGGGCTGAGCGAGCAAGAGGCGAAGGATCTCCGACGCATGGACTTTGCTTACTTCGGCGCCATCGCCGCGCCTGACACCGACCCGGTTCGCTTCCGCGTCGTTGTTGACTGGCTGAATTGGGTATGTCTTTGATATTGGATTCCCAATTCGGAAAGAGAAAGAAAAAAAAACAAGAACACTCCCCACCCCCCGAAAAGAAAAGAAAGAGATGAAAACGCATTGTACTCACGGGTTAGTCTAGGTCTTCTGCTTTGACGACCAGCTCGATGATGGCCCTCTAGGCCACCAAGAAAGGGAGGGGAGGCTGTATGTCAACAAGTTCATGTCGGTGCTGGAGAACCCCAATACGAAGGAGTCGCTCGAGCCGATGCAGTGGATTCTGAGAGATATCTGGAACAGGATCCAAGAAGTAAGCAGCAAGTCGGCACTAGAGGGAGGGGGGGAGGGCGGAAGAAAGAGAGACGTGTAAACTGACAGACAGACTATAGGACCCTTATTGTACAAAAGGCGCCAAGAGCAGATGGTTGAAGCAGATGAAGGTCTACTTGCAAGCCTGCTCTGACTCTATCGTCTTCAGACCCAGCCCGACGTTGGAGGAGACGTTGTCGAGATACCTGGACTACCGACGCCCGTCCATCGCGGCGTATGTCCTCAATGCCTTTGTCGAGTAAGACAGACCCATCATCATCCCCTAACAGGTCTTGCAGAGCAGACTCACCACTAAACTGACGCGCGAATAACAGGTATGCAAGCGGGTTACAAATCCCCGACGAGGTCTTCGAGAACACCTCCATCCAAGCCCTCGAGAGAATCGCATGTGAACTGGTAGCCATGTAAGTTACCCCTCCTCCTACCATCCCAGAGGGAGGCAAGTAGGTAGGTCTCTCTGCTAAGAAACGTGACCCTCCCAAGCGTCAACGACTGTATTTCATACCACCGCGAAAAGGACCAGAACTGCCCGCACAACATGGTCCACCTCTTTCGACACCATGGCATGTCCGAGCAAGAAGCCTACGACAAGTGCCAGGTCATGCTGCGCGAGAAATACAGAGAATGGTACAGTATTCAATCCTCGCCCGCGCAAGAATACATATATATAAATATATGCTGAAAAGAGACACACACTCTGACTCCGCGCTGCTAGGTACCTCGCCATGGCCAGCCTGCCCACCTGGGGCGAGGAGGTCGACAAGCAGGTCCACCGGTACATCCAGGGTGTCCAGGACGTCGATTTCGCCAACGCCTACTGGAGCTTCCGGTCGGGGAGATACTACGGCAAGCACGCCGGCCAGGTCCGAGCCACGCGGGTCTTGCCGGGCGCGCATCTTGACTGGGTTCCGGGAATTACGCTTCTGGCGGAGGAGAAGGCTGGTGTCCAACTCGACTTGGAGATTGCAGGAAAGGTAAAGGGGCATGCGATTAAGCGTGCTCGTCGACGGGAGCGTATGGCTTCAAGAGGCAGAAGACACGGGAGACTGACTTGCTGATTAGAAAGAAGTTGGTCCCTTTTTAGAAGCCAGGATGATTATGATCAGTCATCTATCTCGTGAACCTCAGGGCTTTTGCGCTTGTTGGTTTTTCTGGGGAGCTCCTAGGAAAAAAAGTGTATTGATTTGTTAATGTCGAATTTTACTATGTCTTCATGAAGTTTCTGTAGTTCTTGGCGTTGGACTGATGTCGTTGGACTCGCCAGATTGGAATTGCCCGCCTAGACTCCCACAATAACAAAGTTGACCGCGAGGCCTGAATTTCACATTGCGAAAGAGTCGGATCGAAAGTCAGAGCCGTATTGACTAGCAACCTGTAATTCCAGGATTAGCTTGCTAGAACGTACCTGTCATACCTACCCGTCCCTTTCAAGGTATGGGACAGAAGTCGGAACTTATTTCAGTAAATGAAATCACTCAACGTTCATCAAATAATCAGTTCCTCACCGCAACTCTCCGATTCCGACCGAACCTGCAAAATTGTATTGCGAGTTCGGAGAGGAGACATTGAATGAAAACACTCGATTGGCCGAGATAGGCATTCCCGAAGCTCAACTTGATTCGAGTATGAGCGTCAGCATGTTTGCTGACACGAGGAACAGCATCAGCTCGCACCAGCAGTTACCTTGAGGGGACTTTGCGAATATTTGATCTCAGGGGAAGAAGAGAAAAATGTCTAGATAGTAGATGCGAGAGTGTCCAGGCCGGGGGATGCAACGAAGAAATTCATTCTGCTTCTGCTGTGCGGTAATGGGTATCCAAATTCAACCGAGTCATCGGTCATGTATGTATATGTCAACCGGCCGATACTTCTCTCTCTTGATACGAATCTAGCAATCCAAGTGCTCTTAATATTCCAGCGCCCGAACTCCAAATATGCCCATTTTTTCCCACTCAGCTACTCACTGTTACTTGGAGACGACGCCTCGAACAGAATCATAGGCTCCCGGGGGAACATACGTCGACTTCCCCGTCGCCGTATCGAAAACATGGCAGCCGTACATCGCCGCGTTGGGCGGGGTGTATACTATTTGCAATCAGCTGCTGTATCTATCTGACACAGGAAAGGAGCAAACTCACGGTGCAGACTAACAGCATACTCCGTCTCGCTCGGGTTGCAGATTTCATGCAAGCCCAACCGATCGGATATATATGCCACCTTCCCCGCCGCATATTCCTTCCTCTGCAGCTCCCTCAACCCGCCCTCCACACTGTCCTTCCCCTCTGGCATCTCGTACCGCGTTTCTCGTAGCGTCCCCTGGAGGATCTTCATCAGGCAGTGGCTGGAAGCGTGGTCGTGCACCGGGCTCCTCTTGCCAGGCGTCCAGACAAGGATCAGCAGGTTGAAGATCTTGGGCTCCTCCGCGACAAGGTTGCGCGTGTATTGCTTGTCCGGGTTCTGGACGGCGTACTGTGACCAGTGTGAGGGGTGAGAGGTGTAGGCGCGTAGATGGTCCGTGAGTGTCGGGAGGTGAGGGGGGCGGGTTGTCGTTAGAGACTCGGAGAGGGCGTTAAGGAGGTCGTTGAAGGGCGTAGAGGTCTGGCCATAAGGATCACGGGCGGGATTCTGCAAGGATGGCAGTTTTGAAGGGGCTGGGGGAGCGGGTTAGAGATGCAGGTCTCGCTGGAGGTAAAGGGATTGACAAACCTGGAAGAGTCGACGGACCCCTGGGTGTTGGTTCTCTGTTTTCAGCCAAAGACGTTGCCATCTTGGAAGTGGTGGTGAGTACGCGAGTATTCGGGGTCGGGGTTTGAGTCTGGACCATAACCCTTAAGGTGCGGGCATGGACTTGGGGACGCACAGAAGGAGGGAACAGAGAGCGGACGATGCTTGTTTTAAGAGCAGACATGTTTAGGTGAATAGATAGTTGATTTGGTAAGAGTGCAATCAGATTTGCCTATATTTGAGAGAAGAGGGACAAAGAAACGAGTAGTTGCGAAATATGTCCTGTTGATGATTGAAAAAGAAAGAAACAGAAAAGAGCGCAGAGGGTGAGGGGGGTTTATCGCTGGTAGTAGCACTCCCTTTCCCTTCCCTTGCTTGGCTGCTCGCCGGCGGGTGTCAGGGATATGGGGACATCTGAGAGAGCCCACCATGTGCGTTGACTAAAGTATGCATTCTGGTCTGGGCAGGATTTTGGAGAGGGGAGGAGAGGGCGGAAGGTATTCCATCCATCCCACTATCGCCCTCTCGCATCCTATGCTCCCTTCCACGCTCTGCCCTTCGCCCTGTGCCGGTGACCAACTGGGTTGGTTGTGATGGTAGGTAGGTAGGTAGTAGGTATTCGTCGTCGTATTGCTCATCGGCCGGCCATTTGCGTCCCTCACTCAACCCATTTAAGGATTCAGTCAACCTTTCACCCCTTGACCCATCTATTCCCGACCGGTCTCACCCCACCTCCTCCTTGTCCTATCTCACTCGCGCAGACAGGTCCCCGGTGTCGGCTTTCTCGTTGGGCGAATGCATGCCGGTAGTATCGCTCGTACGTGTTGCAGAGTTCAGTGTCGCAGTGGACCAATGATGGTCAGGTTGGCGGGGTCATCGGGGAGACCGATAAGGATCCGGCTTGGTAGGTAGGAAGGCTCGAAGGCTCGAAGGCTTGGCGAAGGGTAAGAGGGCGGGGCGGAGGGCGTCGGTTAGTTTGACTGATCCTGTGCAAACTCAAATCAAGGTAAGAGAGAAAAACTTGACCGAATCGTAGAAAGAGAAAGAGAAAAAGAAAGAGAAAGAGAAAGAGAAAGATAGCGCAAATGAACAGGAGAGAGGAAATAACAAACTGTAGAAAGCAGCAAAGCGTAAGAAATGATAGCAGAAGAGTACCCAGGAAACAATCATTCCCAAAGTCCATCATCATTTACGCAACTGCGTCGGCATCCATCCACTCAACCCGGGCTCGTCTCTCGGGTTTTCGCATCGCCGTCAAGCATCCAACTGCCCTGCCCTGGCCCACTCGGACTCATCTTATTGGCTCCCGCGGGAAAGACAAGTGTCTCGACACCAAAACACGACGTCGGGCGTTGGTGTGCCCCCTCCAGAAAGAAAAAGAATCGACAGAGCGACGACGAAAACCACGGCGGAGAGACGGCGAGTGCGAGGACGATGGGTGAGGTTGTAGAGGGAGAGTGAGGAAACAGGGAAAAAAAATTCGAGAGGGAGAAGAGACATCATATAGCTGGCTGAGGAGGAGGGTGCTGATTGGCTGCGAGGGGCGACTTGGCGGGCAGGGGCAATTGCGTGCGATTTGGACATTTCACGTGACGAGCTGAGCTAAGCTGAGCTGACTTGAGCCGAGCTGAGCTGACTTGAGCCGAGCTGGGAAACGTGACGTGACGTGACATGACAGCCACAGCGTTGTAACCCCTCTGTGACCGAGTATTTATTTAATCGCGAGGTAAAAGGTAGCCGTGATGAATATTCGCCCGGGGAGGTGGAAGGTGGAAGGTAGTAAGTAGAGCTACGTCATGTGTTTGCACCCACCGGGCCAAGAACGCTCCTTCCTATTTTGATTTCTTTGGTTGATTGCTTCCATTGAACCACGGCAGTTTCGTGTGATCTGCTGAAAGCGGGAAGCACTTCGACGCCAGAGTGCCATAGATTCCCGCACCCGGATCACAGTCTCGGATTCAAGCATCGGAGACTCGAGACGGAACTGGACCACAGATTCGTTTTCCGGGCCAGCATAAGCCGTATCGCTGCAGTTGCCATGCATATCCACAGGACAGGGAAAAATCTCCCCAACAAGATCTCGGGCCTTGGTGTCGCATGCTTCACGAGTTGCTGATGTCTATGAGAAGAATCTTGCAATTTCAGGGTCGAAGGAATACTTGGAGTGGTCTGGCTGAGCGGCGGTGGTAGTGGAGGAGCTTCAAATCGCACCGTGTTCTCTTGAATGAAACGATGAAATGCATTGTTTGGGACGCTGGCCTACTTGGAACGCGGTGGACATTACGCTCTGGAGGCGAGCTACCATACGATCTGTTGACCTCCCCCCAAAAATTGGCCGCGGGGCGAGAGAGAAAAAGCGCGCTCAGACGCGTCCCCCCTTCTTTTTAGTTCCGGGGAAGAAATGAATCACGTCTTCCTCCCTAACCGCCGCCATCCCCCAAAAGTATTTATTATTCTAAAAAGAAGGGGGAAAAAGCAAAAAAGAAACCGCTCGCCGCGACTCCTCTACTACTGGGGGGAGGTCCAGCGTGTCCGGCTAGGCCAGATGCTGGACCCCATTTCAGGGAACCCAATAGAGGCGGGCGGGATTGCGTACAGTCCGGCGCCCTTAACCATTACCACTCACACGCTCACCCAATTCACACTACGTTCACTTGTGGGGGAGTGATTGTAGCAGAACTGGATGAGGTACCGTGCTGTTTGATGTCGTCTGTCGTGGTAGTTGGGTATGTAATGTAAGCAGTAAAATGGTCTTGTGCGGGTATACTACGGGGTCGCTTAAGTGCAGAGCTGACGAGGCTGGGAAGATACGCATTAGGTGACTCTGTTCCAATATCACCTGATTGAACGGACAGCGAGCGATTCTCGATTCTGGCTTGCTGATTGGCACTTTATTAGGACATGGGCTACTGTCGAACATCTTGCACCGCAGTCATAATGGGCATTTATATCTTTGGTTGCGAACGCCGAACAGCTATCTATCTATCATCCGAGAGATGACAAATGCTTGATATGTAAATCCTTCTAAGATCTCTCAGCCAGCCAGCCAGGCTTGTCAGGACACCGATGCACTTCGAGGTTCCGTTTTCATGCTTTGAGTATGATGCTTTCCATTCAGCGCCGTATCGAGGACAGCTATTATGCCATGAATGTGGGTTGGCCAACCACAGCACTACCTACTACAATAAATAGCATGATGCCGTGTGAGATTGAGGGAAGAAGGATTTGGATAAACGGACTATATGATTGATGTAAGGTATGTAGTAAAAACCACAACGAGCAATCAAGCCCCTACTGTCCATCTCCTGCCGGATCCCTTCATTCTGATCCTTGGCCCCAAGAATGTGTGAGCTCTCAGCCCAATCCATCAGGTGTGCACCTCTACAGAAAACAAGAACACTCGCAAGGACCAAAGCATGAGTGGTTTCTGGCATGATATCCGCACTCCGTTCTGCTTTCGCAGTGGCTCCCGTCATCTCCGCTACTGCGCGTAGGTAAGTTCAGTTGGTATGATGGCTCCTTCCCTCGCTTAACGTTGAGCAGTCGGTGGTGCAGCAACGCTAGGAGCATGGGCCACGTGACCTGGTCGAGTGGCTACAACCATTTCCTGTAGCTTCCCTCTCTTCCTCCTCTTCCTCCTCTTCCTCCTCTTCCTCCTCCTCTACGAACAATCAACTCACATTTCCACCTTTTCCACCTTCACTACCTGAGATTATCGAGAGCCCAGTAATACTCGCGACATCGCACCTGCTGCGACAACCATAAGTTCCTTTATGTTGGAGTCCATGCTCCTATCGTGGTTCTTTGACCACGACCAGTAACAACGATGACGACGACGACGACGACAGAAATGAATTCAACCAGCAACTCGACCGGTACGATGGACTCTGGAGTCAGCAACCCTATTGATAGATTCCCGTTAAGGGTCCAGATTGTGGTAGCTGCTATCGTATGGAGGTTTGTGATCCTTATCTGGAGTGCAGGTTGGCTCTTACCCGTCACGAGCAGGATCGACTTCACCATCGGTTTTGGCCTCATGGCTGCCAACATCTTAGCATTTCTCAACGCCAGCGGTCTTTGGTGCGACGGGCAAATGAGTGGGTGATCACAATCGCTTCCGGGAGTAGGGATTGGCTCAAACCCGTCACCAGCAAGATCGACTTTAACGTTGGGTATTGCGCACTTGTTGGAAATCTTTTGGCATTCATCCACGCCAGCGGTGTTTGGTATAACGAACAACTTAGTGCAAGCATCATCACCTTGATTCCAATAATATCCGCCCCCTTCTCATCATACCACAACAATTTTCTGCAACTCTTCCGGCGCACAGTTCCCCTCCATTATAGCTCCAGTCCACCATTCAATATTACCATACAACTCTGCTTCCCGTCCGTCTAAATCACATAGACCCCGGATCCCCCTTTTCATTATATATATATAATCGTACCAGCAAGTATATCTCCGAAGTAGAAACGTAACGACTAGATTAAACGCCGTGAACTCCCACAGCATGAAGTTCAGACAGTGTATTCCGGGTTCGAATTACCCCCACGTAAGCAGGAATACGATGTAATTCATGGAATAAGGCCAAAGTTGGAACGTGACTCGCACCCTCGCCGAGAATATATACGGGATGGCATGGCCTTGGTGATGCAGAGCCCATACAAAACGTTCTTTGTCCTTCTGAATGTGTTGCTCCCGACGCGGTGAACGAGGTGTAAAGAGACTAAGCCCTTGCGGGCCAGAGTCGAGGTTGGTCTTCAGCGCCTTTAGCCACATCTCCGGTGTGCTTTCATCGTCGACTCTTGCACATTCGTAGAAGAAAACGTATACCTGTGCAGCCAGGACAATGAACGACTCGATAAGAAGGTGTATGATAGACCATAAGTAGAATTCATCTAGATTGAAGGGCACCGCTCGAGTGACGAGATACGGCACGAGGAACGTGCCACAGAGCGATACCATCCAGTAGATGACGCAGGCAAGTCGATGTCACTAGAAGCTTGGAAGTGTCCGTGTCTTTTTTCCGGTCCTTCCTTGAGCCTTCTTTCCGTGAGCCATACTTGGAGAATGCTTGAGACAGCTTAGAGATGTAGAAGTGAGGAATGGTGAGAAGGATAAGCTTGAAGATTGCTTAAGATAGCTTGGAGTTATGAAAGTGAATAACGATGAAAAGAATGAGCTTGGAGATTGCTTGAGATAGCTTAAAGATATAAAAGTAAGGAACGGTATGAAGGATAAGGTTGGAGATTGATTAAGATAGCTTAAAAATGTAAAAGTAAGGAATTATAAGAAGGGAAAGCTTAGAGTAGAAGTAAGGAACGGCGAGAAGGATGATTATCTGAGACTTCAATGGTGGTCTGCGTTGTTCAAGAGAAATGAATGGATTGTCTGAGGTTCCAGGAGGGATGTACGGACTCTTTATATATAAGCCTGGAAGCCTATACCAAGACGCTACACCGCTACCTACAGCTTCCAAACATAATACTGAATCCTAAGGCGCATGGTCCGCGTACCATTAGTACCTAGTCGGCGAACCTGTAGCTCTTGGACCTACTGGACCTAGGTACTATACCTACAGGGCCTAGACCACGTATTAATAGCGACTGATCTGCTGTACCTGCGGCACTAAACCTGCTGAGCCGTACTGCTTGGTCTACTATCAATGTAGCGTCTGACCTGCTATACCAATAGACCGAGCGGGAGAAAGCTCTGCTTCTGTATGACATCACCTTTTCGTTATTTTGGCGCCCGGTGTAAGATAGCGGTTTTCTTTTAACCTGTCCGCGTCATATACTCCTTATATACTCCACAGTCTCGGCCACAATGCAGACTCCAGTTTGGAATCACATATCATACACTGTGAACTTATAAAAGTCAGGCTAAAACTTTGATAGCGCTCTCTTAAACATTTCGTTTTCGTAAGCACAGACGTGATTAATCAGTATTATTTTGGCGATATAACAAAAGTCAAACAAATGAAGCTTCTTTTGTATATTTCAATAGGTACGTCATAGATCGCATCTCTCTCCATGTTGAGTCTTCGATATGATTCTTCATTGTTCTCTGGCTAAAGGAGATTCTAGCTATATAATGGACTAGATGGATTACTCCTACCAAGTGTCAGGACTTTGTAACAGAAAAGTGAGAGCTCCTAAACACATTTGAAGCAGGCCCTAACGCCCTACTGACTTCCTGCGTTTCTGTCATGAACGTGTGACCTTCCATAAAGAGAGGAGTAGAACTGCTGCTATTGCCATAGCTATTGTCATCATCTGGCAGTCTACTGATGAAGCTCTCAAATTCATCTGTAGATGGTGGCCCAATTCCCTCGACAATAACTACGTATAAGCCCAACTTCTGGAGCGTCACCTTGTTGCCATTCTTGCCCTACTCTGCTTTGCACTTCTCTAGAGCAGCTCTGGGCTCTGGTTAAGTGTGACGAGTTCTACAGTAGTCTACTTTTCCATATATAAAAATGTTTGTGTTTATGCTCTTAAAGGAAGAAGCGGGCTACAACCTTTAATGCCTTGAAAAGCTCTCGGTAAGACACAAGATAAAGGTCTTTGGTTAGTTTAAACTATATTATAATAGTAATTTCTTAAAGTCAAAGGTCTTTAGCAACGATCGATTGCTTAGAAGTCATTTTCTCTTTAAAACATAACTGCCTTTCACCGCTTGCTATTCTACGGCTACGCTACGCTTCTAGCTACTTAAGAGGCCCTTTTCTGTTATATTAGACTTTTTTGATATTGCACGAAGATCATATTAATAATCGATTAAAGCTATAAGCACTTACAAACACTCTTTTTACTTAAATAACTACGACTTTTTAAGCGAATACTCTTCGTCTTTTAATATAATAAGCAACTTATTAAACAATCACCTCTTTATTATAAAAACCTTGTTACTCTTTTTTAGGCTGCTCCATGGGGCCCCATGGGGCCCCATGGAAATTCGAGTCCTCCCCACGGGGGAACCCACGGGGGGTACAAAAATCGGCCTTCCTTATGGGGAAACCTTATGGAGGGTGGGGTTTCCCCATGGGGTTTCTTTATTTATATATATTCATATCACGTGGCCTCGCCTAATAGCTTAAGCGCTAAGAAGTTTACTAAACACGTGCAAAGGAGTACGTGCAAGGCTAGATTGCATAACAGATTTACTAATCGATTTACTAATTATATTTACTAATCACATTTACTAATTATATTTATTAATTATATTTATTGATCATATTTACTAATTCGATTTATTAATTATATTTACTAATCACATTTACTAATCATATTTACTAATCAAGTTTATTAATTATATTTACTAATCACATTTATTAATCATATTTACTAATCGATTTATTAATCACATTTACTAATTATATTTACTAATCGATTTACTAATCATATTTACTAATCGATTTATTAATCATATTTACTAATCACATTTACTAATTATATTGATTAATAGATTTACTAATTATATTTACTAATCGATTTACTAATCATATTTACTAATTATATTTACTAATCACATTTACTAATCATATTTACTAATCACATTTACTA